CACAAGCTTGAAGGGACAACCACTAGAAATACTTGGACAGATGTCAGCAGACGACAGACACAACTATAGAGCACTGGTAGCAGCTCTAGAACTCGGGAACGGAACCCAAAATCAGTCAGAAGTCTACAGGGCTAGGTTTAGGATGAGAGTCCGTGCTAAAGGGGAGAGCCTGCAAGAGCTGGCTCAGAACTTGGAAAGCATGGCACACAAGGCCTACCCAACTGCACCACCCGATCTCCTCAAGTTGTTGCTGAGGGATCAGTTCGTAGATGCCTTGGACAATCCACAACTAAAGATACAAGTGAAGCAAGCACACCCCTCTACCATGCAGGATGCAATGGCCAGAACTCTCGAATTTGAATCCTACGTTAAGTCCAGCACAGAGGGACCAAGGTTGGTACAGTCATCTGGATTCAAGGACAGAAAAGGTCAGCTTTCATAGAAGGCTATTGGAACTGTGGGGAGCAAGGACATCTGAGGAGCCAGTGTAAGAATATTACCAACAAGTCAGCCTCAAGGAGACCAGTAGTGATTGGTGTTGAGGGACACTCACCAAACCCCATCGTGAAAGTTCCAACAGCTAAGTGTAAAATGGCTAGCACACATAGTATCTATGTGACAGGGAAGCTGGATGGCTAAAAGTTGAAACTTTGTCATAGATTCTGCATCTCAGCAAACCCTTGTGAGCATCAAGGTGTTAGATCACGAAGGAGTACCAGAAGTTGTACAGAAGCTCTGTGGTGTGACAGGACATTCTACATGATTGTGGGGACCAGTGTGTGTAACTATTGAGCTCATGGGCATAAAGAACAGACAGAAAGTATACTTGGCTGACATTGAAGACGAATGCATATTAGGATTGGACTATCTACTACCAAGGAAGTTTGTAATTGATTTCGATAAAATGACATTTGGGAATAACAAAGGCCAAGTTTCGGTAACTGTTAAAAGAGAGGTTGAACTAATTAGGTGCCATCAAGGTGAAGTCGAAGTGACTAAAAAAGTTGATGATGACGAAGTGAAACCAGGTATTGATATTAAAGCAGAGCAGGAGAAAGATCAAGATTTGAAGCTAATAATTGATTTTTTAAAAGCAAGTTGTTTTGC